GTTACTGATGTGTCATCCTCTATTATTGCCTTTTTTAAAAATACAATCTAGGATATTTACACTGCTCAGCATCAAGCTTAAGTACAAATAATCACTTATTTGTATGCTGTCATACACCAGCGGCATGCGTTCAAATGGTACTTACCTAATTCATATTCCTTCTCCAATTTCCACTTAGGCATTGGTCTGTCTTCTATACACAACTCTGCAGAGGCACTTACTCTTGGTAGGGACTTCAGTAGTTGTCCTGCGATACTGTGAACCCATGGTGGACTGAGTAGGGTTTTTCTTGGCTAGTGGGAGGGGGGAAAGGTGAAAAGCATATCACCAAAAAGAACCTAATGGCTTCACTTGGATATTATAACAGGAGTAGAAGAAAAAAAAAACAAGGTTACCACAGTCAGCACTGTTTAATTTACTACACTCACCTGTCTCAGGTGCTTTATGAACTCGTGTTCATTCGGACTAATCTAATCTAGGAATTTCACATTTATGGCAACTCTGGTCTTTTATTTTTTTGAGGAGGAAGTTCTCGCTCTGTTGCCCAGGCTGGGAGTGGCAGTGGTGCCATCTTGCAGGTCACGAAAGCTCCGCCTTCCGGGTTCACGCCCATTCTTCCTGCCTCAGCCTCCGAGTAGCTCGGGACTATAGGCGCCCCACCACCTTCGTGGGGCTAGTGTTTTGTATTGTTAGTAGAAACGGTTTCACTGGGTGTAGCCGAGGATTGGTCTTGAGCTCCTGATTCTTCATGGATCCACCACCTCGGTCCTCCCAAAGGTGCATGGGATTACCAGGCGTGGAGGCCACGCACGGCGGTGGCAACTTCTTAGAAAAACACTCTAGGCTAGGGCATGGTGGCTCAACCTATATCCCAGGAGCGACGTGGGAGGCCGAGCAAAGGATGCCCTTTTGAGGCCAGGAGTTTTGAGGACCGGACCAGCCTGGGGCCAAAATGGCGAACCCCGGCTCTACAAAATACAAAATTGCTGCGGCATGTGTGGTGAGTTGTGGTCCCAGCTATCGGATGCGAGGGCTGAGGGTAGGAGGATCACCTGAGCCCAGTAAGTTGTTGAGGGCTGCAGTGGAGGCTTATTGATTGTGCAGCTGCACTCCATCTGTGACAGAGTGAGGGGACCTGGTCTCGAAAAAGAAGGAAGGAAGAAACATAGGCGCAGTTTGCTGAGATGAAAAAAGTGTTCGCTAGGCATGGCAGTATTAGTGGTATGTTAGATCCTACCTCGAAGTCTCATTAGTAAGTTTTCTTAATTTTCTTCAGCAAGGAATTCTGAAGACATTTTGATGGAGGATGGGTGCTTGCAACCGAGGCAGGAAGACCAGGGAAGAAGGCGCAGGGGAGTGTGTGGGCTTTCGCAGATTGTTGCGTCATATTGGGCTAAAAGGAATCACAAATTAAAGGTTAATTCTTATTACGGATAATAATATATTGGGCGGCCAGGCGGCGGGGTGGGGCTCGCACGCCTGTTAATCCCAAAGCATTTATTGGGGAGGCCGAGGGTGGTGTGTCATGGAGTCAGCGAGATTCAAGGACATCTGCTAAAACAACGGGTGACCCCAAAATAAAAAAATTAGCCGGAGTTGGTGCAGCGTGCCTGTAGTTCCCAGGTTACCGGGGAGGCTGAGGCAGGGGAGAAAGGCGTGACCCGGAGGCAGGAAGTGCAGTGAGCCGAGAGGGCGCCACTGCAGCTCCGAGCCTGACGACAGAGCAGGAACTTCCGTCTCCAAAAAAAAAAAAAGGGTAATATAATATAAACTTTGTTATAATTATAAATTCTTAATGATAATTTTGTTTTTTTTTTTTTTGAAAGACCGGAGTTTTTGCTGCGGTCACCCGGCTGGAGTGGCAAACTGCACGATTTTTGGATCACTGCAACCCTCTGCTCCCAGGGTTCCAGAGTGATTCGTCTTTCCCCCCCCCCCCCCCAGCCTCCGGAGTAGGCGGGATTACAAGCAACCCTGCCACCACGCTGGGTCGTAATTTTTGTATTTTTGAGGTAGAGACAGGGGTTTCAATGGTTGAGTCGGCTGGTTCTTTTGAACTCTTGCCTTCATGTGGATCACCTGTCTCATCGTCCTAAAGTGCTGGGATTATAGGTGTGAGCCACTGCACCCAAGCTTTGAATCTATAATTTTAAATTTTATGCTTATTACTTCTATTTTTAATACAATTTAAAATTTAGGTTTAATAATTATACATTGTTATCAATTTTTGATAGTTCAAGCCAGGATGGTCTCGATCTCCTGACCTCGTGATCCGCCCATCTCGGCCTCCCAAAGTGCTGGGATTACAGGCTTGAGCCACCGCGCCCGCCACTTCATGTCTTAATAATAGGAATTATTATTTTTAAATAAATAATTCTCTTCTTACAATTTTTAACAAATTATTTTTAAAAGTATTCTAGATACTACTAACTGGCAAATATACCAGTGCCTCTTACAATTTTTAACAAATTATTTTTGTTTTCTTCTCTCTTACAATTTTTAACAAATTATTTTTAAAAGTATTCTAGATACTACTAACTGGCAAATATACCAGTGCCTCTGTTCCTTAAACCAGGAGGTAAAAGCTAGAGGGCTGTATATGTTCACAGTGATTTTTAAATGGAATCAAACTTTATCAACAGGTAATGAGGATTACTGCATTAAACGAGAATACCTAATATGTGAAGATTACAAGTTATTCTGGGTGGCACCAAGAAACTCTGCAGAATTAACCATAATAAAGGTGGGACTGATTCTTTGTAATTTCAGTTACTTTGTAAATAATATGGATTGAAGCAATAACTGTTCTTATGGTACCATCACATCTTTCTAATAATCTCTCTCAATATGTCCAAATATATTAAGTATCCTTTCAGTTTCATTTTTTTGAGGAAATCTCTGCTGATAGTTTCTGGCCTGCTCCAATCTGGACAAGTTATACATTAACTTTCACACAATCACCATCCACAGTCACCTTGGAATTTCCATTTATTATCATCCTAGGTATTCACATTACCTTTTTCTTATATTGGATACCTAGTTTCTTTTTATCCTTTTCTTTCTTTCTTTTTTTTTTTTTAAGGACAGGGTCTCTCTCTGTCATCCAGGCTGGAGTGCAGTGGCATGATCACAGCTCACTGCAGCCTCAACGTCTTGAGCTCAAGCAATCCTCCCACCTCAGCCTCTGGAATAGCTGGGACTGTAGATGCACGCCACCACTCCCAGCTAATTATTTTTTGTAGAGACGAGGGCCTCCCTGTGTTGCCTAGGCTGGTCTTGAATTCATGACTCAATCAATTCAATCAGTCCTCCCACCTTGACCTCCCAAAGAACTGGATTACAGGCATCTAACTTTGCTTTTGAATTTTTTTGCCATTCTGAGTCTCAAAGCTTTGTGTGAAGTTATTTTTCCCGCTTTCTGGATCCTTATAGGATCTTATTCTTGTCCCCACTATTCTGAAATGTCACAATTACATGCCTTTTCATAAGTTTGTTGTCACTTATGTGTTAGATACTCAATGGCCATTTCAATCTGTCAGTTCCCTCATTTCAATCTGTCAGTTCCCTCGGTTCTGAGAAATTTTCTTCAATGGAGAAATTATTTTTTCCCCTCAGTTTCCTCTGTTCTCTTATTCTCTAATTCCTTTTATTAGAGGTACATATGGCATCTTTTGGACAGAGCCTCTAAAAATTTAACTTTTTTTCTCCTATGTTTTCTCTTTTTACTTTCTGAGTATTTTATCAGCTTAATATTTTTGATCTTTTTACTAGGTTTTTATTTCTATATTTAATTTTCAAGAGCTTTTTTTATTCTCAGAATTTTCTTTGTAGCATTCTATTCTTTATTTCAAAGACAATATTCCTTGTCTTTCTGAAAATACTAATGATACTTTAACATTTTTTTCTCCCTTTGTCATCTGTTTCTTCTTGTTTTTTTTTTTTTTTGTCGTTTTGATCTCTTTCACACTACAGGCTTTCTTCAAGTCTCTGACTCTCTATTCATATTTAAGTATGGGACACTGAAAGCTAATTGAAAGCTCTGTGTATATGGAAAGACCTTGACAGCTGTGGACCTCAACATAGAATGATCTAGCTTGGCCATTTTATTGGAAAACCCTCCAATCTTTAGATCTTTTCTCTTGAGCTGATCAGAGAAGTCTTCTCCCTCAGAGGAGACTTCTGATTTTCTGCCTGGAGCATATAAGCCTGGCTTCTAGCTTTCTGAAAGCTGAGTAAGGAAATTGGTCTGAAGAATGGAAGGGCAGGGAGGTACATCTTAACATCTTAACCGCTGCATATATAACATCCGATATATACACTTTTCCCTGTTTTCCATGTTATGTCTATGCCCCTCAGTGGTGCCTAGTGCTCTGTAGTCCAGAGCCCTTCTGTTTTATACTCATCAGGTAATAAACTTCTGGTCTTCGAGAATAGCGGAGAGGTAGTTGCTGGGCTGGGCTATTGGAGCAGAGGAGGGAAGCTGGGGTCTACCTTCCTCTTTTTTTTGAGACGCACTTTTGCTCTTGTCACCCAGACTGGAGTGCAATGGCACGATCTTGGCTCACTGCAGCCTCTGCCTCCCAGGGTCAAGCAATTCTCCTGCCTCAGCCTCCTGCGTAGCTGGGATTACAGGCACCCGCCACCAAAAACCCAGCTAATTTTTTATATTTTTAGTAGAGACAGGGTTTCATCATGTTGGTCAGGCTGGTCTTGAACTCCTGATGTCAGGTGATCCACATGCCTCGGCCACCCAGAGTGCTGGAATTACAGGCATGAGCCACTACACTAGGCCTACCTTCCTCTTAAATGGGATTCAGTCACTCCTGTCTTAGCTCCACCCTCAGCGTCACTTCCATGGGTAATTGGTGCTGGCAGTTATATACTATAGGGAAATAGCCTTGTAGTGTAAATGTAGCTCAGCTTTCTCCTCTGCCAAAATCAGTTTTTACTCTAACTGGATTGTTACCACCTCTTCTCTTTCCAGCTTATTCTCTTTCCAGAATTTGCTGCTATTGTGTCTTTTATAGTAGATTTATGCCTTTAAAAATATCTCTTTATTATTTCTCTATCAGAAGGGCTGGAAGGAATGTGTTTCAACCTGCCAGCCATAACCATATACTTAATTGAATTTAATTTTTAAAATACAATATCTTACAGGTATCTTCTCAACCTGTCCCATGGGACTTTTATATCAACCTCAAGTTAAAGGAACGTTTAAATGAGGCCTTTGATCATTTGTGCAGCTGTTATCAATATCAAGATGGCTGTATTGTTTGGCACCAATATATAAACTGCTTCACCCTTCAGGTTTGTAATACTAAAAATATAATTTAAAGTCCTCAAGTAGAGAGATTTGTGCTCCATTTCTCATAGGAATTTAGTACAAAACCTATCAATCTTCTAGAAATAGACCAATTCAATTATAAGTTAAAAGCATTGATCATTTTCTTAAGTTATTTTGACCAAAGATCTCTTTGGTATTCTTTTAACTTTTTTTGGTCAGTTGTCAAGCATAAATAAAAGTAGAATTGTACAATGAACTGCCATGAACTAGTCATCTATGATAATCTTAGCTCATGGCCACTCTTGTTTTAGCTATGCTACCCCCACTGGATAATTTTTTAAACCCAGACACAATATGTCATTTTACTCTTTGGTTTCTTCTTAAGAAGGTTTTCTACAGATTTTGATGATAATATAAATTCTCAAAAACAGTTGGAATGAGGGTATTTTAAAACATTTATTAAGTACCTATTTTGGGCCAGGCTCACTCTTGATGCCATTCATCATTATGTCATTAAATCCTTACAAACAATCTTATGGGAGATTGCAGTATTATAAAACTGGGACATAGACTCAGTCTACAGAGATGCCTGTGTTCCAGTAGAGAACAAGGAAGACTACAAACCATCAGTGACCAAGGTATTGAGTATAACTACAATCTGCCAAACTTGAGAAATAGTGAGTTTCTGTCCTTCAATTTCCAGGATCTTCTCCAACACAGTGAATATATTACCCATGAAATAGCAGTGTTGATTATTTATAACCTTTTGACAATAGTGGAGAAGCTTCACAAAGCAGAAATAGTCCATGGTGACTTGAGTCCAAGGAGTCTGATTCTCAGAAACAGGTTGGTCCTTTTCATTGTTATAATTCTATCAGCTTTCTCTTAAAACATGGATAGTTGCCACTTTTTTTTTTTTCTTTTTGGAGGCGAGGGTCTCACTCTGTCACCTAGGTTGGAGTACAGTGGCATGATCTCGGCTCACTGCAGCCTCCGCCTCCCAGGTTCAAACGATTCTCCCATCTTAACCTTGCTAGTAGCTGGGACCACAGGCGCGCACCACCACGCACGGCTAAGTTTTTGTATTTTTCGGTAGAGATGAGGTTTTGCCATGTTGCCCAGGCTGGTCTCAAACTCCTGACCTCAAGTGATCTGCCCACCTCAGCCTCCCGAAGTACTGGGATTATAGGCGTGAGCCACTGCACCCGGCCAAGTTGCCAGTTTTTAAAGCATTTTGATAAATGCCATATGGAGGAACACATTATGTTAAGAGAATATTTACCTAAAAGTAAAAAATCATTGAGAATAATTTAAAATAATTCAAAGAAATAAACACATTGAGGAAATAGACTAAATCAGATAAAATAATTAATCACTGAGTATTGTGATGATATACATCAAGACAAGATATAAAATATGAATATTTTGAGGAATATAAAGTGGATTGTTTAGTCATTCTTTGAGTGGGACCCGTGCCAATCTAGCGAGGATGCCAGCAAAATCAAGGCACTGCTCAGTTTCATAGACCAAAGCTTAAGTCAGGCCTGACTGACATGTTAGCCAAGAGAAGTGGGTAAAACCAGAGTTCAAATACAAACTATGCCAAGGAATGGGGCTTAGTGTTCAAATTAAACCCAGTGTGTCCATCAGGTTCAAGGAGCGAGCACAGAGCAGGATAAATGAATACTAAGAACTGAGAAAATATAGATCACATTCAGGCATTAATTAGGCAAAAACAGTCCAACATTTTTGCTTTGTGAAAAGGACTAGAGGACTACTACGTTCTTTTAGTGATCATTGGTGTTATAGTGTTTGAGTAAAAGCAACCTGGTTTAAAGATGCTTTGTCTGCCCAACCGGATGTCTTGGATGAGGTGTTAACTTTGTTTCTGAGGCCACTGGTATATACTAATAGCTGGACTTATTCTTTACATTTCTTCTGACTACTTAATCTATAAGAAGAGATTGAATTAGACTCTAAATTATAGTTAACATGGAAATTAAAAGAACCCTCAATGTGTTCCTGTGATTGTAACCAAAAGAACTAGAGAATCCCACCTTCTCCCCTGAGATAGCAGAGTCAAAGTCTTTCCCAGACATAATGTAGCAGCATTTCTCATCCAGGGCACCATAGATATTTTGGATGAGACAATTCTTTGTGCAGGTATGTTCTAAGCAATGCAGGATGTTTTATATTCCTATTCCCCCCACCCACCCAATTAAGTGCAAGTAACAATCCCCTAAGCCGTTGTGACCACCAAAAATCCCCCAAAATTTCCAAATATGAGAACCCCTGGTATATTTTCACTCTACTTAACAACATTAAAATGACAGTGCTGAAATTCCCAGGGCTATGGAAATTGGAAGCAGAGGTATTTTCTAAGCCTTTTAGAATTAGGCATTTGTGGTCTATGGAGTACGATAACCCTTCTCTCAGCCACCAGAGGCTCTAGGAAAGTACATAGTATTAAAGAGGCATTGCTTTTTACTTTGTCACTGCTTATCAAATTTAATCAGAAATTTCACATAGATTGATAAGGAATTTAAAGCTAGGAAGGGGCCGAGCACAGTGGCTCATGCCTGTAATCCCAGCACTTTTGGAGGCCGAGGTGGGCAGATCACCTGAGATCAGACCAGCCTGAACAACATGGAGAAACCCCATCTCTACTAAAAATACAAAATTAGCCAGGTGTGGTGGTGCATACCTGTAATCCCAGCTACTTGGGAGGCTGAGGCAGGAGAATTGCTTGAACCTAGGAGGCAGAGGTTGCAGTGAGCCGAGATCGTACCATTGCACTCCAGCCTGGGCAACAAGAGCAAAACTCCGTCTCAAAAAAAAAAGCCAGAGGCCGGGCGCGGTGGCTCATTCCTATAATCCCAGCACTTTGGGAGGCTGAGGCGGGCAGATCATGAGGTCAGGAGATCGAGACCATCCTGGCTAACACGGTGAAACCCCGTCTCTACTAAAAATACAAAACGTTAGCCAGGCGTGGTGGCAGGTGCCTGTAGTCCCAGCTACTCAGGAGGCTGAGGCAGGAGAATGGCGTGAACCCAGGAGGCGGAGCTTGCAGTGAGCCAAGATGGCACCACTGCCCTCCAGCCTGGGTGACAGAGCAAGACTCCATCTCAAAACAAAACAACAAAAGCCAGAAAGGGCTGGATGCAGTGGTTCACATCTGCAGTCCCAGCACTTTGGGAGGCAAAGGCAGGAGGATCTCTTGAGGCCAGGAGTTCAAGACCAGCCTGGTCAATATAGCAAGACCCCATCTCTACAAAAATAAATAAAAGCCAGAAAGAACCTTTTGAAATTGCTTAGTTTAGTTGCTTACTTTAGTTTCTACATATTTTTTGTGAGGAAAATGAGATCCAAAAAAATGGAATGTCCTACCCAAAGTAACAGTGAGTTAGTAGCTGATTAAAGGACTAGGACACCTTCATGCATGCTTCTTTTTATTAATCTATGAAACATTTTTTCCTGTGCCTCCAAATTTATATAAATATTTTACAATTACACTGGGCATGGTGTCTCACATCTGTAATGCCAGCACCTTGGGAGACCAAGGCAGAGGATCACTTGAGCCTAGGCGTTCAAGACCAGCCTGGGCAATATAATGAGACCTCATCTCTACAAAAAAATTAAGAAATTAGCCAGGCGTGGTGGCACACACCTGTAGTCCCAGCTACTTAGGAGGCTGAGATGGGAGGATCGCTTGAACCCAGGAGGCAGAGACTGCAGTGAACTGAGATCACATCACTGTACTCCAGCCTCAGTGACAGTGAGAGCTTGTCTAAGAAACCAAACAAAACACACACATGCACACACATATTTTATATATATATAAAATACACACATATATTTTTTATATATCAGAATCCACAATCCCTATGATTGTAACAATAGCTATATATACTATATATATATGTATATATATATATTTTTTAAAAATTATAGTATAGTTTAATGGTGGCCAAAAAAGGTTGGATCTTGTGCCAAGGAAAAATGGGAGCAATTGTCAATTTTAAAGTAAAATACATAGATCATTCTGTGCTGTGGAGGTATGTAATTGGAGTAGTTAAAGCCTGTATTTAGGAATATTGCACCAATATCAGGAGTTTGAGGGAACTAATTGAGAAAAACAGAGACAAAAGGAGCACATGAAAACCCACTCTTTTCATTTATAAACAGTTCCTATGTCTCCATGGAGAATAGCGTTATTAGGATAGATAAACCCAAGGAAAACAAAATTAATTGATAATTAATTAGTATTATAAAGTTTTTTTTAGTAAATAAGAACTGGAATTACGGAAAGAGTAAGATAAAATATGGTGTTTTACAATATAGGTAGGACTTTATAAAACAGACTTGCATTGTTTTCCATTAAACTCTGGAAGGAAGAATCTGAACAATACCTGGAAAGCCTATCTGGAATAGTAAACAAGAAAGGCTATGACACCTATAAAATTTTAATTTCCTCCATCGTAATTCCTGTCAGTGTATAAATCATTGCAATTGTATTTGTTAATGTGTACAGTACAGGGAAGAAGCCTGTGCTCTGCCTCCATACTTACTTTATATAATATGGAAGCTTGATAAATGTTTAATGGTGGCCCTGCATGGTGACTGAAATATACTTTGTGTCACCAAACTGGTGACATTCCTTCCGCATTGGGTGGACACTGCCACTACTCTTGAGTCTTACAGGTGCATTTTCAAAATTAACCACTGGAGGGAGTTGTCGGCATAGCTAAGATGTACTCAAGGTACCTTTTTTTTTTTTTTTAAAGACCAGCTATGCAGCTTCTTTCATGGCCTATTTTTATTATCTCCTTCTCTTAAATCTGGGCTCAGAATCCACGATCCCTATGATTGTAACGAGAACAATCAAGCTTTGAAGATAGTGGACTTTTCCTACAGTGTTGACCTTAGGGTACAGCTAGATGTTTTTACCCTCAGCGGCTTTCGGACTGTACAGATCCTGGAAGGACAAAAGATCCTGGCTAACTGTTCTTCTCCCTACCAGGTAAGTGTAAAACAAGCCTGAGCAAATATGGAGAGGGTTTCTTAATCTCTTTATTATCTAGATAAGCTATAAAAGCTGGTGTTTACTGATATTGACTCTCCCAGAATAGATGACCTAGTTTTCAAATATCACCAAGTGAAGTAAAATGTAACATTTTTGTGTTACAGCATTGAAGAATATACACATACACGTGCAAACACATGACTAACTGTAACCAAGTGCCAGGGCCATTCCTACTGCCTACCACCCATGTAATCTTTTATAAGTCATTTTCTGTGATCTTCTCTGTAAAAAAGGGATAACAGTCTCTGCTGTGTGTTTATCGGAATTGTTGTGAGGGGTAAATGAAGTAATGTATATAAAAAGAACATTAGCACAAACGTAAAGTCTTTTGTATGGTGGCGTTATATGCAGAAATTCACTCTAACTCAGCTCTAGACATAAGACATTTGCTGATTGAATATGTAGCACAAACCTGAACTAATCATGTGGATCCCATTTAGATCACAGTTGGAGTTCATGCAAACTCAGTAGGTCTACAGATTTGAATGTGATAGTCCAAATATTTCATCTTTTGTTCTTAAGGAGATCTCCTAGAGTTGGCTCTATTGATCATTTCTTTGGAGAGCTTCTCCCTTTACTGTAAGGGTGAGGAACAGTCTACTAAAATGTATGTCATAAAATAAACTTAGTTAAGCACTGTAATACCTTTCAACTTCCTACCGAAATAAGCTGCCATGGTAGAGGCAGAGAATTATTTTAGCTGATGGTGCTTTTTGTGATTTCAGGTAGACCTGTTTGGTATAGCAGATTTAGCACATTTACTTTTGTTCAAGGAACACCTACAGGTCTTCTGGGATGGGTCCTTCTGGAAACTTAGCCAAAATATTTCTGAGTAAGTATTGATGAATTTCAGGGTCTCTGCCCGTCCCTGTAATTTTCTGTTTCTCTTGAATGCTATCTCTGCTTTGGCAGCCTTAGTTTTTTTAACCCAAATGCCATGATTCCAGTAGTTTCAGCGAGTTTTCATTAGAGTATCAGCAGAGCATCTAGTGCAGGATAAAAGAACTGCTCATTAAAAATAAGATTCAAAACTATTCAGACTTCAGGACCTCATTCTGAATGTAGCTGTATCTTCCAGACTACAGCTATAGTATGGAAGCTTCCCAGTTTAGATATGTGAAAATAAACATTTCATGAGAATAATTTCCTAATCAATTGGTGTTAGCCTTAAATTCCTATTTATTTATTTATTTATTTATTTATTTATTTATTGAGGTAGAGTCTCGCTGTGTCACCCAGGCTGGAGTGCAGTGGCACAATCTCAGCTCACTGCAACCTCTGCCTCCCAAGTTCAAGCGATTCTCCTGCCTCAGCCTCTTGTGTAGCTGGGATTACAGGCGTGCACTACCATGCCTGGCTAATTTTTGTATTTTTAGTAGAGATAGGGTTTCACCATGTTGGCCAGGATGGTCTCGAACTCCTGACCTCGTGAGCCGCCCACCTCAGCCTCCCAAAGTGCTAGGATTACAGATGTGAGCCACTGCGCCTGGCCTAAATTGCTTTTTAATAACGATTATTACCAAAAGTTAATAAGCATCTCTTGAAAAGACTTACATTTCTAAACTGTATGCTAATTTTAGGCTATTATTTATTTAATAAGTGGATAGAACCGAACCAGATAACTGAATCTCCTGGTGAAGAAGTAAATGGTCTCTTAATAAGCACTGCTTGGTCTCAGAACCTTAGTACTCCCTCAAGCCTGCTCATAATTATTAAGTCGGCCGAGCATGGTGGCTCACACCTGTAATCCCAGCACTTTGGGAGGCTGAGGCAGATCACCTGAGGTCAGGAGTTTGAGAGCAGCCTGGGCAACATGGTGAAACCCCGTCTCTACTCAAAATACAAGAAAATTAGCCGGGTGTGGTGGCCCATCCCTGTAATCTTAGCTACTTGGGAAGCTCAGGCACGAGAATCACTTGAACCTGAGAACCCGGGAGGCAGAGGTTGCAGTGAGCTGAGATCGTGCCACTGCACTCCAGCCTGGGCAACAGAGTGAGATCTCCATCTAAAAGAAAAAAAAACAACAACAACAAAAACAAACAACTTAAGTATCTATGTTCCATTTTAGCTTAACTTAGCAAATAAGTTCCCAGCATAAGTTTGCCAGTCTGTCACCTATTGTTATATTCTTTGGTTAAAAAAAAAATCCGTGTTGAAGATTTAATGCCCCTTCTCTATTTTCCTCTTTGAATAATTGAATTATAGTTTTCTCTTTATTTAATTCAGAACTTGGCCAGTGTTATCTCTTACATGTACTTTTTAAAATAGGCTTGAAATACAATGTAAGACATATAGGATGGATATAGGTATGTCCACTTGGCTATGGGCCAGACAGGTCTGGCTAACACAAGCAGAAACAAGTGGGGTCAGTTGGGGTTTCCTAACAGCCCTGCCTTATCTAATAAGGGAAGTTTCTCTGATCAAAAGAAAATAATAATAAGCAAAGGTACAAACATATTAAGCAGTAGTTACTTTAGTCAAGCTTACAATTCTCAGAGAATTGTAAAGATGATCCACTACTTGGGTGGGAGAAAGGAGCTGTAGCCTTTTTGATGACCTAGACTCTAGGAAAGTTGGAAGAAATAAAATTCCTTTTTCTTCTATTTGTAGAAGAAAAGTGCTATTCCTTAGTACACAGAGGAAATTTATAGATTTAGATGAGAGAACTTCTTTCCCTTTATGTGCATTGTATCTTGGCTTTTCCCACTATGGTAGCCCTTTTTTGTAGTTCTTCCCTGGGCTTTCAAAGGACTATTTGAATGATCTCTAACCCTAGAGTTCTAGGTATTACCTTACACCATTTTGGTGCATAAATGTACCACTGAGTTAAACTAAAAGAAATTATAATTTTCATATGCCTAATCTTGATGGAAATGGTTTTATATATTTTTAGGCTAAAAGATGGTGAATTGTGGAATAAATTCTTTGTGCGGATTCTGAATGCCAATGATGAGGCCACAGTGTCTGTTCTGAGGGAGCTTGCAGCAGAAATGAATGGGGTTTTTGACACTACATTCCAAAGTCACCTGAACAAAGCCTTATGGAAGGTAGGGAAGTTAACTAGTCCTGGGGCTTTGCTCTTTCAATGAGCTAGGCAGTGAAGTCTCACAGATTCCTGCCTTAGAGCAATGGTTGTATTGTGGAACACTGAAACTGTATATGCTGTAATTTAATTTAGGACACATTTAGATGCACTACCATTGCTTTTCTGCTTTTTGGTAGACGTATATTTCAAATATATGAAAAACTGACATTTTTTACACAGTGATATGCTTACTCATGGCCTTGTGTAACTTTTAAGAAGAACTATTTTATTCTAAGCAGGCTCATTACAAATGGTTACCTTGTTATTTAACCCATTTGTCTCTACTTTTCCCTGTACTTTTCCCATTTGTAATTTGTAAAATGTTCTCTTACGATCACCATGTATTTTGTAAATAATAAAATAGTATCTGTTAAATTTGTGCCTCTAACATGTCATGTAGTTTTTGCAAACTAAAATAACAAATGGCTTAATTTTGCAGAGAGGGGCTATTTTGCCATGGAAATTTATATATCCTAGACTTAGAATTGTTGCAATAGGGTTGTGATGAGACAGAATAGCCAACTACTTCTTTAGGTGGGTCTGACCTTCAAATAAGTGGTCTAGACTGAAAAGTAGGTAAGATGATATGCGTAAGACCAAATTTCCTTCACTTTCAAGTGGCATGATTGTATATGTGGCTTATGTTTTAATGCTTTCACTCTTTTGGAGACAGGGTGTCCTCTGTTGCCCAGGCTATCACCTGGCCTTTCCAGACCCTGGCAATTTTCCCACCTCAGCCTTCCAAGTAGTTGGGAGCACAGGCTCACATCACCACATCTGGCTAATTTTTTGTACTTTTGTAGAGATGGGGTTTCGCCACATTGCCCAGGCTGGTCTCGAACTCCTGGGCTCAAGTGATCTGCCCACCTCGGCCTCCCAAAGTGCTGAGATTAGAGGCGTGAGCCACCATGCCCGCCCCTAATGCTTTCACTTTTATCCACCAAGCCCCTTGGTCTATTTATATGATCTAGTGGCACTGCTACTGGGTCTCTTGATTAGGAATCTGACTGTTAGAAAATAAAAGCAAATGTGTTAAAGAGGGTTTAGCAACCTTTCAGAAATGGAAAAATCACCATTCTATTACATGCAGAATGACTTGGAGGGGGCAAGGGTCAGTGAAAGAATAAAAGGAAATTTTGTTTGAAAGATTTGAGGAAGCAGGAGGTCAGAATAAAATGATAACTTTGAAGTATGAAATAGTTTGGAAGAGAATAGGCCTAGATAAAGTACTGGACTCCCAAAAGGAAGCATGAATTACACCTGGCCTCAGGGATAGGGAAGAAAATTGGTAGAAAAAGGCAATGAAAATTATCCAACTATCATCTGGGCACCGTGACTCATGCCTGTAATCCGAGCACTTTGGGAGGCCAAGATTCACATGAGGCCAGGAGTTTGAGAGCTGCCTGGGTGACAAAGTGAGCCCCATCTCTACAAAAAATAAAAATAAATATAAATTAGTTGGGTGCGGTCTCACATGCCTATAGTCCTAGCTACTTGGGAAGCTGAGGCGAAAGGATTACTTGAGCCTGGGAGTTCAAGGTTTAGTGAGCATGATTGCGCCGTTGCACTCTTGCTGTGGGCGACAGAACAAGACCTTGCCTCTAACAAAAAAAGGAAAGAAAATTATCTAATAATTTCATATCTAAATATCAGAATTACCTAATGTTCCTCCATGCTAGTGCCTTATTTTTTTTTACTTTAATTGTCACTGTTACTGCTCTAAGATTGCTGGAAAGCAAAAAATCCTACGTATGTCTCAACTAAAAATATTTAAGCATATATAGTTGAAGCACTGCAACATGACTTGGATCTGAAAGATAATCAACTTAGAAATATTTCCTCTTAACCAAAATACAGCTCTCCAAACATTCTCACATTTGCTTCCCGTACTGATGATGTTAAATGATATATCTGTATCTTTTACATAATCAAGCCCCTTTCCTCTCTGCTCTCCTCATTTCTCAGTTCACTCTGTTGACACATGAAGTTATTACTCTGAGACTGGACAGTAAATTTAGATTTATTCTTAATATAGGCTTAGCTACTATGTAGTGAATTCTTTAGCAACTTTGACAGCAGGGTGCTGTGTAAGTAAAGCTTTGTTTCTGAAAGTAGGCTGTGAGGAAAGGGAGGAGAATCTGAGGAAGCTACTTTGTTAGAGAACTTGCTGTTTTGCCACCCCTCCTTGCATTCCAATCTCCTCCAACCCCAGCGCTTCCTTGTAGAGAGAAGAAAAGGCACCTGACCAATTAGGACTTACAATGTCTTAGGTTTTCTGTTTGCCTAAGCATAAAACCACAAAGTGAGATCCTTTCCATTTCCCTTATATTTTATGCTTATTTGTCTTGGGAGAAGGAAGCATTTCCTTTTTGGCAGAAGTTTCAAATGGTTCTTATTTCTTATCTCACTAAGGCAGTAATAGTGTAGTGATGGACCTGGTTAGGTAGTGAGGGACAGCTGAAAAGGCAGGAGTTTTACTTTTGTTTGAAAAGGGACCACATAACATATAGCATCTCACCATTCACAAAGTGTTTGTACACCCACTGATAGTGCTCTAACTGATGCCAAACCTGAACCTGGAAATAAAAAGATTTTCCTGGAGCAGTAGGATTTCAGACTGTTGGTTGAGCTTATCTCAAGGTGGATAAGAAAGCCTTTGAGAAGGTTAGCACAAGGTTCTTTGAAATAACTCATTGGTGTCTTTAAGCTGAAGCCTTTAAGCAAAGACAGCAAAGAAGTGCTTTTCTGTTGCATCTGAAAATAAGGAATTCTTCCAACTGCACCAGTTCTTCTAATGTGCCAAAATTAGCTTCTAATTTGGCTCCTAAAATTAAGGTTTCCCTAGTGAGGAAAATGCATTTTAAAAAATTTTTTTTGTGGCCGGGTGCGGTGGCTCACGCCTGTAATCCCAGCACTTTGGGAGGCCAAGGCGGGCGCATCACGAGGTCAGGAGATCGAGACCATCCTGGCTAACACGGTGAAACCCCGTCTCTACTACAAATGCAAAAAATTACCCGGGTGTGGTGGCGGGCGCCTGTAGTCCCAGCTACTTGGGAGGCTGAGGCAGGAGAATGGCGTGAACCCGGGAGGCGGAGCTTGCAGTGAGCCGAGATCGCGCCACTGCACTCCAGCCTGGGCGACTGAGCGAGACTCCATCTCAAAAGAAAAAAAAAAAATTTTTTTTTGTAATATGGCAAACTTCTACCTTAATGGGGTCCTTGGTTCTACCAGAGACATAAGAAGCTATGAATATTTAATAGGACAAAGATGGCATTTTAAGTCAGTATGTGAAAAGATTATTTAATAACTGGTATTAAAACTGTGAATTAGGCTGGGTGCAGTGGCTCACACCTGTAATCCCAACACTTTGGGAGGCTGAGGCGGGCGGATCACCTGAGGTCAGGAGTTCATGACCAGCCTGGCCAACATGGTGAAACCCCATCTCCACTAAAAATACAAAATTAGCCATGTATGGTGTCGCATGCCTATAATCCCAGCTACTTGAGAGGCTGAGGCAGGAGAATTGCTTGAACCCAGGAGGTGGAGGTTGCAGTTAGCCAATATCATGCCATTGTACTCCAGCCTGGGCAACAAGAGTGAAACTCTGTCTCAGAAAAAAGAAAGAAAGAAAGGAAACCCACAATGGATTAAAGCTTGAACTCTATCCCCAGTGCCACTACTAGTTCATATAGCACCTTTGTGCAAATTAGGAAAGGCCCCTTCCTCTAGTGGATTCAGTACCTCCCAATGCACCATAGCTTGACTGAACTTCAGTCCCCACTTACGCCCTCAGCCTGGTACCTTTGTGCAGCAAATACACTGTGCAGTCTTATGCATTGATCTTGCCTGTTTCACTGCTTATCCCCAAAATAATTTTGGAGAAATCAGAAATTTTAATCAGAATTCAATGTAATAGATGGTTTTGCAATCTTTTGCCTGTGTGACATAAAAGCAAGATATAAACAAGATATTAAACAAGAAATATATATACTATTACTATAGTAGATTAAAAAAAATTAAATATAGCATGGCCACCTATCCTCCCCTCCAAAAAAATTAAAACACCGTAAATTCAAACTAGGAACATTTACTGGCAACAAATATTTACATCTTTTTTTTGCCTTGACCCAGGGATCTTGCTCTGTCGCCCAGGCTGCAATGCAGTGGTGAAATCAATCTCCTGGTTTCGGGCCTCCCAAGTAGCTGGGAGTGTCGGTGCACACCACCACACCTTGCTAATTTTTTTAATCTTTAGTAGAGACAAAGTCTCACTGTGTTGTCCAGGCTTGCATCGACTTTCATCTGGTCTCATGACTCATCTCTATTGTTCGTACCCACCTCCAGCCAAATCAGAACCCTCCAAAGACTTTACCATGGCCTGTAAGACTCTACCCTATCTGACCCCACTCTTTCTCTGACCTCCTCCCTGACTCCCCTCTTCCTCACCCACACTGCTGTAGTCAGCTTCCTTGCTGCTTCTCAAATGTGCCAACTAATTTCCCTCTCCCTCTCTTTAAAGACTTTTGGCTTTAAAGGCCAGATGTTTTTTGGCAGAAAAAACATTTCTGCCTGAAAGTTTTTTCCTTGATCTTCAGGTAAATTAATCCCTTTCTTCCTTTCAGGTAGGTGTCTTCTCAAATCTCCACTCTATCAGAGAGGCTGTCCCTGAGCATTCTGTACACTGTACAGAATAGCATCCCATCCCACACACACTGCTGTCACTTTCTATCCCTTTTTACCCTCCTTTATTTTTTTTCTATAGCACCTGTCACCGCCTCGTGCGTGTATCTGTGTTGTGTGTGTGCGTGTATACATACACTTTTTTTTCTTTATCTTTCTACTAGAATTTGAACTCCTTAAGGGCAGGGATTTTCGTTGTTTCCTGTTTGACTGCACTGTCTAGAACAGTACCTGAACGAATAAAAATGTTTTACCTAAAGTCCAAAAAACTCTTAAAAATAAAAAATTGAAAACCAAAAGAAACAGGCAAAGGACATGAACAATCCACTAAAACATTTTAATGGCTCATATACATGAGATGTTCATTCTTAACTAAATAAAATGCAAAATAAATGAGAAATTGTCATTCACTCTAAATGGCTGAAAATTGTATTCGTAAGGATGATAAGAAACAGGCACTCATATATTATTAATTGGGACGCAAATTGGTACATTATTAGAAGTTGATTTGGCAAAATCCACTTAAATATTCCCTTTAGCTGAGAAATTTTTCTAAGAATTTATCTCACAAAAGCATTGACACAGGAGCTCAGAGAAAGCACTGTTTCTAACACTTGTCCTCTCCGCTTCCAACACTCGACAGTCCCCAGAGGGATAATCCATGTGACAGACCCCAGGAAGGTAGTCCTGGCACT